TGCGTTTCTTTGCAAATGGAAGTTTTTTGTACAATGTCGGAGATGCTGAGCACTTGAGTAAGGCAACTGTATGCAGGGCGGTCAGAAAAGTGTGCTCGTTTTACAGGCATCTGCCTTCTTTCTGTTGGCTGAGTAGAAGTCTGTGTTAGTTTAAATAGGCTGAATTATTTAACAGAACATGATATAGATGAGAAGACATTTATGTGTGTGAAAACAGCATTATGTTGGGGATAAAACAACTGCACAGTCAAACAGCCACTTAATATTTACTTTACAATGTAAAACATGATCAAAATGAGGTAACCCCATGAGATTATGCCGAGGTCTTACCTGTTTGAACAATGTTTTTATATTTCATCCTAAACTGCTGCCAAGTGTGCTTCTCCCCTGCGGGACTGCACCTAAATTAAATAAATTAATAGGCTACCATTCAAGCAGTTTTCCCCTGTAATATTATTGTGATTGCAAAGGACTACATTTAAACTTATGCACTGACCCGAGGAGCAATGTTCTCCCACGCCGTCTCCCTCTCTTTTGCAGGTGCAGCGGTGTTGCATTTCTTTTTGAAAACGTGTGCAAACTCGCCATATGAGCGCATTAAGATTTCTAATTCTAGTGGGGTGAAAAATGCAGCCCTCCTCTTCCCCGTTGCCATGGTGACTCGTCGAATCGGGGCTCCATTGATGCTGGCTTTTTATACTTGTGGTGCACGCGTTTAACTCCAGGTGAAACTACTCCGAGTTGATTAAACTGATTCAAATCAGCTGTTCTGGAACCAGAAACTCAGAGTTTCCTATCTCAGAGTAGATCAACTCAGAGTTCAGGATTAGACTCAGAGTTTGTTGAACCTGCTTTGTGAAACGGACCCCTGACCTCTAAGCCCGACTAACTCTGCATTAACAAATGCCAACAAAAGAACTGCTGTTGCCTATCAATCCAAAATAAGCCATGATACAATGATGATGATCAGGCTGCATACCCTATAGACCAACGGCCCAGCTGAAGGTGGCACGATAAAAACAAAAGAAAGCATTCAAACAAATGTGAAGACCCACAAGAGTCCTCAGCTCTGTCGCAACAAAAAACAAAAAAAAAATGTTGGTGTCGTTTGTTTCTGCAAACCACAAATACATGTTGTATCAACTTTTATGAAGTGAAGTATATGAGATGACTTTGTCATGCAGAGGTGGAGGGGATGTTGGGTGGCGTGACACCTGGGCAAGATGCCTGCCAAGTTACAGACCACTGTTTGAGACCAACAAACACTGGAACTGGTTGTGTTTTTGAAAGCTATGGCTGTATTTCCAATATCTGTTTAAGCACCAAACTCGGATGTTTTTTTAAAGACCCGTCGCTATTTTTTCAAAGGCAATAGTGCCGGGAAATCTGGGTACTTTTAGCCAAAACATGACCATTTCTCAAAATTACTAAGTGGGTTTTATGCCTAACCTGGTTAACCAAGATTAAATGTCAAGTTTCAACATATCTGCTACATGATAATGTACAAATGTAACATATTGGTGGTTTGCAGACACGTACAATGCCAACATTATTTCTGGACTCCTGCCGGACCCCGTTTGCAAACCAGTACCCATCTGCAAAACTCAACGCCAGGACCAACATTTATCATAAATTATCTTGAAATCAAATCTGGATCTGAATCCGACCCCTTACTATACAGTAGCTAAGACCTGCAGCTCATCAAATGGGCTTAGAGCTGCTGCTGTACTGTATAAGAAGTATACAGTACAGCGGGACACCACTATGCTGTAGGGGCATTCTGCATGTTTCAAATGCTTTAACAGTGCAGAATGTGGCTGTATGTAATAAGATTGTGCTTTTAAAGGACATTGTTTACAAGATCATTTTGGTAGTTGCATTACAGTCATGCACATGTGCACAATTTTCATGTTCAAGAACCCAGAAACCCAGGTTTTCTATGTTGAATCTTTCTGAATCTGTAGATATTTTTCTGGAAATGTGAATGTGACAGTGTTCCTGATTAGCATTGGCAAAGCTGAGTAATGCAGCAGAATCATCTATATGATATTGTTAACTGATGTTGTATCTGGATTTGCTGGTCAGCATTTATACACAGGTGAATCCCTAATATAAAATGCTGAAGCAAGTTGCTAACAGCCTGCCTCTCTCCTCTAACACTGCTCAGTTTTTGTTTAAAGCTGTACAATCATTGCTGAAACCCTTTAAACCTCTCAGTTAAGCACCTGACATGCCAGGAATACTAATTACTTGCCATTAGGTGCACTTTGTGGTTCTGCAGCGTTTAGCATGTATAATATATGCTAATTTATACAACACCTCTGTGATATGAGGTGATGTAACCAGGAACTGTTATGACCGGAGGATTGTAGTCAACAAGCTGCTTATCCAGTTTCAAGCAGCTAACCAATGTGGCTCATCTCTTGAGCGTGTACATGTGAATTGATGTTCCACGCAAACAGCAGGACATTATGTGAGTCTGTCTGAGTGATGAAGAATGCGGGTGGTGTGAGGACAAATGAAACATGGATGCCCAACACTGGTGTTTCTCCTCAGTGTCAGCTCCTACATGAGAGATGGATAAAGTGGCTTTACTTGGCTCAGCAGCTTATGAATGTTACTGATCTAATCAATATTTATTTAAATTATTTAAGGAATACTTCACCCACAAAATGACCATTTGTACATCAGTTATTCATTGCATATTACCTTAAATTTGCCAGGAAAACTTTGTTTTTCTGGCATGCCTCCACAGTGTATGGAGAATCCCAAAAAGGCAAACATTCTTCATGAGTTGAACTAATCAGGGTCCACAGTTAACAACAGCAAACCCAGTGGTGTAGTAGGGGGTATACGCAAGTATATGGGGTATAACCACCTCTTCTTCTGGCTGTTTACAGTATACCCACCTATTAGCCAAAAAGCCAAAGGATAGAAGAGTATACCCACCTCCTCCTCAGTAACCTCCCCATCTACCTAGTATTACACCCACCTCATCAGCTAGCACTACACCACTGCGCAAAACTATACCAAAACATCTGTTCACAAACTGTCACACAACTTGTGCAGTATAATCCAAGTCTCATTATCCATTCATATGCTCACTCAATGCTTCTGAAACACATTTTTGCTAAACCTAACCATTGAAAGCAAGTTAGTACAAACACTCTCATGCACGGCTGAGCAGCGTGCCTGGGCACGCGCGTGTGTTTGAACTCTGCTCAAGTGGAGCTCATACACACGCGCCTGCTCAGGCATGCTCAGGGTACACCACTTGTGGGCTTCAGTGTTTTAAAACAGAATGTTTTGATGAAAATGCATGTGTCTGGCAAGTACTGAGCATACGACTGGATAAATAAGACTTGGATTATACTGTATGTGTTGTGTGAGAGTTTGTAAATGGATGTTTTGATATAGTTTTGCTGTTGTTAGACACGGCCCACGTTGTTCAAATCATGAGGAATGTTTGCCTTTTTTGGATTCTCCGTTCAACATGGAGGCATGTGAGAAAAGAGAGTTTTCTTTGAAGGAAACACAAAGTGAGTAATCGATGCACAGATGCTCATTTTGCAGGTGATGTTTTCCTGTAATCCAATCTGAAACTGTGACAAATGTCCAATCTTTATTGACCAAAGTTTCTTTACATTGGTTAATTTATCTGACTGATTGGTTGATTATTGATTTCTGTCAACTGACAGAAGATTAGTGAGCAACTATTCTGACAGCCATGCAACATTTTTCATGCAAAAATGCCAAACATAGATTCCTATTTCTGTGAACCTGAAGTCATTGCTGTGCATACTGGTCCTGAATAGATCCCTTCTTGTTGTGATTTATAATGTAAGTGAACAGACTTTGTTAGGGTGAAAAATGCATTCTAAAGTTCAGCTAAAACTAATACGAGTCTGTTTAATAAAGTCTTCTCTCTCGGTTTCCCTGGGTAGTGTTTACAAGATGAGCTGCAGAGGACCGATAGTGACACTGGGGGGTTACAACCAGTAGTAATAATGATGAGAATTGAAGTTTATTAAATTTCCTAATGACTGTTTTGGACAGTGGAGAGGAGACAGTGAGGAGGCAGGGCCTAAAAATGTACTACTACACAAATCACACCCTTTATAAGGATTCTGATACAGGTTACCTGTAAACTGAACAGGTGTACATTTGTGTTAGTCCCACTATCAATCAAACTACTTCACAGTAGGAGATGAAGTGTGTGTGGGTAGGTGTGTGTGGGTGTGGGATGTGCAAAAATTTGATGCAGGGCATTTGCTGTAAAATAACCTTTTGCATCTGTGCAATTACTGTGTGTAGGGCACTTGTGCAATAATTTTGTATAAGACATTTGTGCAATGACCAATACACCATGCAATACTAATGTAAAGGCCTACATGTGGGCATGTGTGTATTATAAAACTAGCTGTAGATTTTCTGTTCTCTTTTATTTTCTTCTTTGTTCTCTTTTGCGTTTTGGATTGTTGGTGGGCAAATTTACGATTTGCATTTTCTAAACCATTTTCTGGCGTTCTGATCAAACACTGGGAAAATAATCAGCAGATATCGATAATAAATTTAATCATTAGTTGCAGCCCGAATTTAATGCCTGGTGGTATGACCTGTAAAAACAAGAAAAACTTTGCGTTTGAGATCCTAAATAAGGGAACACGTTGATCACGTAGCCTTACTAATTAGCTCACAGTTATTTACTGTGGATTAACCAGTCAGTATTTTAGCTCCAACAGTGGGCAGATCAGTAGACAAGTGAGGCCAACAAGTAGCATATCTTCATGTGGCAATACGCACAAAAAAACAATTTCACCTTTGGTTAATCTCTTTATAAAAAGGAAAGTGACATCGACACTGATTTGTGATGCCAACATTACAATGTCAAATATCAACCCGACATGTGAGCTGATTAACAGATGACTTACTAAACCTAGTTACTATACTAATGATGTAATTCATTTAGGCTACAAAAGGAGTGTTGAAAACGCCATTACCTTCAGTGTCATGGATGTTTTGGAGGATGTCTTCAGTGTCCAAGCGATTATCGTGGTAGAAAGCGTATGTTTTAATGTTAAAGTCAGCCATCAGATGATAGACTCCCTCCAAAGTGAAGTAACAGTTCCGCTCCTCCTTGTCGTCTTCGTAAACCAGCAGCGCGCTCTTCCAGGTGAAGTGCTCAAACATCGCGGTGAAGGTCTCTGCCATTTTCACGTAAGACGGAGCGATGCGGGTCAGGTGGGAGTATTCGGTGTTCTTGTTGCTGAAGCCGGCAGCCAGGGCACCTGCCGAGATCACCGGGATGTCCCAGTGAGATGCCAGCCTCACCACCGCAGCCGCCTCGTACTCGCACACCGGACCCAAAATCAGATCCGGCTTTTGGCCGCACGACTTGTCCACTAACATGAACAGAGCATCATTGACACAGTTAGAGTTCTCAAACTGGATGTTGAAGTGGAACCCGGAGTACTGTCCTCCGTCTGTCTTCAGCCTCTGTTGTGCGTAAAGGATCGCCGGCGCGACTCTTGTATGTGAAAAAGGGTAGGAATTATTTTGTGGCAAAAATACCAAAACCTCTATGTCCTCGGTGATGGTGTTTGTCATAACTGGCTTCAAGACCATCAAAAAGTACACACACAGTGTGCTGAGATGTGGCATGATGCGACTTCCCAAGTCCCACTTCAGGTAAATGAAGTGTGTTGGAGAGATGTTCCTCAAATGTTTCTTTCCTCAAGTTGGCTCCACTTGGCAGTGCACATACAGCTGCAAACAGAAAGCCCTCCGCTGTGAGTAAATGGCTTAGTAGTAAATAACTGTATTTGTCTTTTAAACAAGCGAATCGGTCTGAATGTGTGTGTTTTATTCTGCATTGAGAGTTCCTTCAAAGGCTCCTGAACCTGCTCAAAATATTCTCCCAACAGCTGATCCTGCCAGGCTCGGAGATTCTTCCAGCTCAGCCAGCAACCACCACACACGCTGGCTCCGGCCTGGAGTTTTGAAGCATCTTTTCAGGATTATTCCTGCGTCATCGGAGCGCTGCCCACCTCCTTCTTAAAGCGACACTGCAGCCGAGCTCACAATGAGCCACTTCAACACAGCGTCAGTTAATGGAGTTAATAGGAATTATGGTTCTGTAAGCCTGAAACAACAAGCCAAATACAGAACTTTCCTAGGTGTTTTTCAAAGGTGCATTTATTCATGATGCGCATATATCGGGCTGCAGCCAGGGTGAAAAAACACTGCTAATGTGTTACACCTTAAATACATTTCTTTTTTCTCCTTCTTTTTCATTTTGGGGTTTTAGGTATTTAGGACACTGAGGAAAACACGCTATTGTTGGTCCAGCTGGCATGTAATGCTATATTACTGACTGTTGATATATAGTCTCACATCACATAGACTATTATTATATTACAAATATATTCTTTATATTAGACACATTAGAGTTAACCTACATTTTGTCACAGAGATATATTTGTAGGCTAGTTGATTTAGTGACTCTCATAGGAACAGCAAGTTTTACTCCTTGAGCAGCTCCTTTGTCAGAAATATAACAAAAGAGAAGTCGTACTATCTGTTTACTGTACAACTTAACAAACTCAGTTATTTTTTGAGAATACCTAAGTCCTCTGTGTTTTTTTAGTGCATGGTGGGCTTACAAGGATAAATTTCGTAAAATTTCAAGAAGGCTACTTTATGTACAGGAACAACAACAACAACAACAAAAACAAAAAAGCCTCCTTGGCACTCGAATCTGCATGCAAGGTATTTCACATAATCTAGGGCCGTAACCACATTTTTTAACAGAGGGGGCTGATCCAACTCTCCAGGTAGAATTCCCCCCAAGAGAAATTTTAAGAAACTTTGCAGCTAAGTTGATCATTTTATAGCATTTTGAAACAAACATCTTAGATCAGGAGTTCTCAGTGCTGTGATGAGACAATGACATTTTAGGGGCCGTAAACATGCATGGAAAAGGGGTCGGGTGCTGGGTGCTACTTTTGTGCCTTTTCTGTGCCAGCTTTCAAGAGCATGGCGGCAAGTTGCGTCTGAGGTTGCTAAGCAACTTTAATAAGCACTGTATCATAGCCTGTTTACCCGAAATCCTGAGTGCAGAGCTGATCTTCTTCCAGGCACTGTTTGAGTGTAGGCCTATTGTCTGTGGGACAGATGTAAAGCTCTGGCAGCCCTGCACTAAAATGATCAACCTCTTTTCCATATTTATCACAGACTGATATTTACAGATGAAGGGAAACATTTCTGTCAGCTGGAATTGGTTGGTCTTTGTCACGTGATATGCGGTGCACTCTGCTGCATTTCAAAAGTTTAACTTTATCTCAGGGCGCAGCCTTCACACACTGAAAAATAGGAGCTCAGGAATGTGTGCACACTGCGACTGCGTCGTTATGACATTTGAGGATGCCTTCCACACATCTACATTAAAAACAATGAATTTTAGGGCACAATACATGTGGCATGTGTACGGCCCCTTAGGGAGCTGGCATATGATTGAGGACCGCACAGTATGACATAGCCCACTACACTATGACTTTTTTATGACTCTTCACAAAACTAAGACAACTCACACTCACCATATCATGTCAACAATTAATGTGAATATCGACAGTTTTCTCTGTGGAAACTGTATTATTAGGCTATTATTGTTATTATTATTATTATTGTTATTATTATTATTATCATTGTAATTATTGTTTTCATGATTATTATTATTATTATTATCATTATTATTATTATTATAATACAGAGCAAATGTAAAACGATAAGATACTGTTGTTTGAATCAGTTCTTAAACCAACTTCATATCTGAATCAGATACGAAATACTTTGAATGCACCAACTGATATTTATATGAGCATTTTTTTCTGTTTATCCCTCCAATCAATAAAAAAGTAACTAACCCCCGAAATCACTTTTTTTCCACTTGAAAACCAATATATATGGGTATTTAGTGGTGTTGCTGATTGATTCAGGTCCAAGTCTTGACTCGTTAAATAACATCTTGAATGAAAAAACATGTAAAGTTTAAATGTAACACAAGTAGATTAACAATAAATTTAATATACCAATAAATACAGTCCATACAAAACACAGGTATGATGACTGAAAAATGAAGATGTATGCTGCACACTGAAAAAAAAATCACCTCTGCATAAACATAAAACCTACTGATATTTACTTAAACATTTTCTGCTGTGAGCAACCTGCTGTGTGTCACAGGTGAGATACATGCCACTCGTGTCTGAATGAAATTATATATTTGGTGTAAAATAAAAACAAACAATTCATAAGATGTTTGACTGTGTGTGTGTAATGTTATTATAAATCTGTTTCTGAACAAACTGAAGTATGTGGTGCCTTTGGTCACATGATATGTGTCCCCTATACCACAGCTGTGACTGGATCTCTCCAATGAAGCAGATGCAAAATACATTGCTCACTCATCCACTTGCAAATGAAAATGCCTAAATTGGTATCAGTTAGTTTTAATTTGGTCCAGAGCTGGCCTTTTGGGCCCTTCTTCATGATTTGACCAGCAACAGCACCCTACATAAATAACAGACTTGATGCAGTGATTAGAGATTGTGTGAATCACCCTTTAAAGACTATTTAACAATCAATGCAGCTCAACCCAAAACTTCATCAGGTAATATGTTATGAAGTCACATACATGGTGCCACAGTCCCTAGATCAGGGGTAGACAACCTGCGGCTCTTTACACCCTCTCCATTGGCTCCCTGTGGCCTTGACATAAGATTATATGGAAATTAATTAATTATTTTAGGCCTTAAGTGATTATTGTTTTCTACAGTTGTGAAAATGTGTAGCCTATACGTGAAATTTGAAGTTTCAATGTTTTGTCAGCTAAAATGTGCATCATGTGCTACAGCCTGGTGCCTTTTCCTCTAAATTTTGATGAACTTCAGTAGCTGTGGCTAGCCTGGAGTCTCTCAAGGCTAGCTATAGATTCCAAATCCAAAAAAAGAAAAGTCTTGGAGGAAAATAGAGGATGTAATAGTTTGTGGACAGATTCATTTGCTTTCACCACCAATGCTGCAGAGTTAAAGTACTAAATAATTATAACTAGTTGACTGCAGAGTAGCTGCCTTGTAGTAAATCATATTAACGAATGCTCATTTAGACCTAACTGTAATGTTGATGGGCTAATTTAGATTTATTAGGCTGTTACCTATATTCAAATATGTTTTGCAGCTCCAGACAGATTTTTTTTTTCTTTTTTGGCCAATAATGGCTCTTTTAAAGGGCCAGTGTGTAAAATGGGTTGAAAACAGTGACATCAGTGGTAAAATTCTAGATTGCAGGGCTCACTCGCTCACCCCTCCCGTCGGGTAAATGACGGCGGCCTCGTAGGGACAAAAAGCCTTGCGCACGAGTTTTTCAGGAGTAGGTCTATCTAGCAATGAGGTGAATATTTATTTAGAAATCTAAACCATGTTACGATACTGTAATGAATCCCTCACGAGCGGGAGACCAGAGGAGCGTTTATTTGAGCACTCCAAAAACTCTGGTAACACTCCAGGGGGTAAAAGACTCCGTCCCAAACTCTGACTCTTCTAGCGTAACAGACACACTTCATACACACATACTCGTTTACCATGCCGAGTGGGGACCCCCCTCCCCTCTCTGCTCAATCTCCAGCCCGCACACTGACTGACAGTGTAGCCGGTAAACAGAGCTCAGCTGTTTATTTAGCCTAGCAATATCTCCGGACTATAGTAGCTGCAATGGACGACTTTGAACGCGATTTTGAAGAGTTTCTTGTAGCGGACACAGACCCAGAGCCATACCTGTTTGAGCCGGAGGATACAGATGAGGAACTCCATGTGTTTGATGCTGAGCGGGTGAGAAGAGAGGCTGAATGCACAGAATGGGATTTAGTGCTACCATCGTTGGGGAGATATATCATCAGGAGGAAAAGCGCCGCAGAGAGTGCATCACAAGGAGTGAAGTTGCATCTTCTTTTCCTCGCAGATGACGGTTCGGGTTCATTCTCTCCTGTTGTGTGGTAAGTCTGGTCCATTCGCAAACTTTATAACTAAAAAAACTTTTCACTACTCTCCATCGACAAACTACTAACACTCTCTGCTGTTTCCTCCTCCTTCTTCCTTCCTTCCGCTGTCTTCGTTGGTTTATTTATACACGTGAAACGTGTTCTCTGGCTGGCTGGATTGTCCGCTTGGTCTGCCGTACATACATGGCGGTGCAAGATGGCGACCTCTCTAAAGCAAGGCCCTTGCTATATATACATATATATATAAAAGCATAATTATAAGGCTATGAAAACCAAACGAATTTTATTTTATAGCGATTATACACTTGTATAAACATATTAATGGGTAGAAGATTCAGATTCAGATTGACAATAAACCATGCCAAATATTACACACTGGCCCTTTAATAGTAAAGGTTACTGACCCCTGGCCTAGACTCTGCCTTGTGTTTCTAATCCAGCTGTATACCTGTCCCATCAAAGGCATCATCAAGTTGGATACACAACTAATATGAAACAGCTGTGCCAGTGGCTGAAATGTAGAACAATGACTGTTGCTCTGGCCCATTTTAATGAGGTTCCTGCAGACAGTGACAAAGAGACAGCTTACATAATTTTATTATATTTTAGATTACAGTGTAAGGTTTTCCCACACACTGAGCCGGGCATTGCATGAACTTCTTCCTCTCTTTGCAACAACTTCACACTCTCATATAAACAGTTTTAACAAATCTAAATAAATTTACTGTTGTACCATGACATACAAAATGATGCTGGACATCTTGACAGAGTGTCATAATAGAATAGAACAGAATAGAATACTGTTATTGTCACTTTGTACAACGAAATTTATTGTGCAGCTCTTGAAACGGTCCATTAACATTCCAAACATGCATGCACGCTCACACCCACACATCCACACACACATGCATATCCATGAACA